CCAGTGCTTCCAATGAACTCTATCGCAGCCAAATGCACAGGGATCTTCACCGTTTTATTTTCATTCACGCCTCATGAAACGATTCAGATTTCCCTCCTTTGTTGTTTTGTTTGTTTGGGCCAGTTACGCCTACTCGAAGACCAGCTGATTCCAGTGACGCTACCCGGCAGATCATGAATAACTTGTTCAAATAGTCATCTTTACTCCAACCTTTCCATCCAGCCGTACTTTCTACTACCGTTTTTCAATAATGTTCCATGGTGTTGCCCTACTCTTACTTTTACGCATGGTGTTACTGCTCAGCCCCATGTTTAATCTTAAACCCTTCTTACCGCGTATTTCTCAGCAAAGTACTGGGCCACCGACTTGATTGTCTCCCGCCCGTCTTCCGTTACGCCTTTGAACCTGAAATATTCTGGAGAGTTTCTATGACTGATGTTAGTCGAGTCTTCTCTCTAAGAGGCCAGTTTTTACGTTAGCTGATCCGCTGGCATTTGAAGGCTGTTAACGCGATAGACACGAACGGCACCCTTGCGGTGCGAGATTCTAATTTTAATGCCCTTCACTGCTTCGGCGAGAATTTTCATCTCATGATTAGACAGCGAAAACTCCTTGTATAGGGTGCTGGGCTGAAATAGATCGATTCAGCGAGAATGCGACTTGATAGCCTCTGTGGAAGTGAATTAAGTATTGCTCTGAACGTAATGTAGCACACTTTCCTCACCGATAGCATTCCCAGCGGCTCTTCATGTCGCTGTGGAGTGGTATGTGTGGTCCTGGGTGGATAAGTGTGATAACCACCGCGACCAGTACTTGCGGCAGTACCACCTCGGGTTGTACTGTAAGTGCGTCCCGGTTGAGTAGTTGTGCCATAGCTGCTGCGAGCAGTAGAAGACGGATTACGATAGGCTCCAGCGCGCTCGTTGAGAACGTCGCACATAAACTGAACCATGGAGATTTTTGCTTTGTAGAAAGCGGTGTGGGCAACTGAAAGCAGTGAATTGTAGTAGTTTTCAAGCATGAGCGAGGCCGATGCCATGTATTTGAATCAAAATGTAAGCATGTACCGTCGATGTTAAGGAGTGGCTTCCATCCACTTGCCACATGGGCTGATGAGAAGAAGCCAGTCCACATCTCTTTTCCGCCTTCCAGATCGAGCGCCAGCGCACCGTTGATGGGGATTCGATAACAGGACGACTTCCATGAGTAGAAGTTTGCAGCGTTGCTTAAAAGGACAACTACCAGTATTCTTATGTACTGCGATGCAGGGGCATTGAATGAACTTGACAATAAAACAAACTAATAAAGGAGTATGGGCTATGGTTTGTGCTGGGAATTTCTGGAGTTGAACTGGAAGCGCTGGCCCTCAGTGATCCCTCAACTGACGGATGCGGAGAGAAACGAAGTTCTACGGACCGGATCCCTTTGAACCATACTTTTTCGGGATAACATAGAA